CTGCACACACACTTGATTAGAGCTTGAGGCGGTGCTCAGGTCGCCCGCTGTGTGCCGCCTGCTTGAAACAATATGGCGCCGAGGACTACGACCCTTTTGGGTCTCCTCGGGAACGTCGACAGGTTGCCGCATCGTTAGAGAGCTCAGTCCCCAGGCCCGCCCTTAGACCTTTATTGTCCCTGTCTTGCCGTCTGTCCGTCCGTCCGACTGTCTCCCTGTCTTTGCGCGCCTAACAAATTGCAGAATTTTTTGTGTTGATTTATCGCACAACAAGAGCAGCGGCAGCGGCAATAATAAAAATAACAACAGCAGGGAGAGCGTGAAACGAGCGCACATTAAACATTTAGTAATGAGTTTAAAGTTTTAAATGGAATTTTTGATTATAAGCGGCGAAACAACAGAAGGCAAGGCTGAGCCGAGGCCGGAATGGGTTGGGACAGAAGGAAGAGCCAGCCATTCGGCGTATCGCAATTTGTGCCCACTTACGGCTGTAATTACGGACGTAGCGATTTGAGCGGAGTGCCTACCAGGCAACCATTCCTGCATTATGCCTATGTAGTATAATAACCTGTCCATGAATGCGGGATTAGATGTGTAGTGGATATGACAGTTTACACTCTTAGCCATCCCTTAATGGGGTTGCCTAGCCCTTATCGTATTTCCGTGCTCTACATTCCGTCCCAACGATCCGGCCCCGGCCCATTGTCAATCCATCATAAGCCCTTTCCCGCGTCCCTTTCATGGCAGGCTCTCCAGCTCCAGCTCCAGCTCCTGGCAACAACAACCCCGTCAAATTCCAAGGCAAATCTCTGGAAATCCCAACACTTTGTTCAAACATATAAACCCAGATCTTGCCTTGGCCTCGGCCTCTGAATCTTCATCTTTCGCTCAGCCGTCCCTTTTCGGGGGTTTTCTTTTCAATTTAGCCGAGGAGAAACAGAGACGCGAGGCCATTAAACGCTTTAAAATCAACATCAACACCGATGACGGCGACAGGGGCAATAAAGTCGACCCAAAAATTGCTTCCTCTGCACATAAAACTGAGCCGGGCGGGCCCGGGCCGAGCTCAACCTAAAATACCCGTACACACACGAATATATTGTATGTTGGCGGAGCAACTCTGCTGAGCCTCGCAAACAAACGCGGTAAAAGTAAACGAAACACTTTGCCACCCATTCCACTCCACTCCATCCCTGTCCAACTCCTGCCCCTGCCCACTTAATACTTAAATGCAAACGTGTAAATTATGTGATTTTTCCCCGGCGGCCATGTTTGTTTGCAAACTCCATTACCAACATGGCGGGAGCTTCCTTTCCTTCCATGCCCTGCCAGCTCACCTGTTTGTTTCAAGCAATCGTCGCGCTTTGCCATTAAAATGCGAGAAATAACAAAAAATACGTAGCCCGTGCTCCGTGCTCCGTGGATACCCCTTTTATGTGCCTTTATGTGTTTTTCATGTACTTTTATTTGATTGTCGCACGCTTTGGCGCCCCAGCCAGAAGGCCCTGCAGGGAGGGGCGGGGGCGTGGCACCCTCCACTTAATGGCGATGTTTTTTAGTGCTCAAAATATTAGCAAATGTTCATTAACGGCTATGCAAATTGGTTGTAGTCGGCCGTAGTCGGGGTCGGACCGAGTCCGAAAAAGGCAATTACTCAAAAAGTACTTAACACACAATTGTTGCGTGTGCCCCAGGGAGGCAAAGTTGGGCCGAGAGTCTCGAAAGCAACTACGTATTGAATCCCAATTGAGATTCTTCCTTCTGGGCCAAAGGTTAACCTAAGCTCAGCCGGCCTACGCCTAATTCCTCGGTCTGATAGCTTTGCGTCTTTTCCACACTTGAAATGATTTTTAATTACGTCGAGAGGAGTGGAACCACTGCCTACTTTAGAGCTCATATTTTTCCCTGTCTGGTGGGCGGAGTAGGGACGAAAGTCAGCCGCCTGGAAAGCCAATTAAAATGAAATCAAGCCGGGCCTCGCCCACTGCTCAGCCCTCGGCACCTCTCTCGCAGGCACGGCTTAGTGTTTATTGGACTACAACACCTTGGGCCCGCCACACACACACACACAAGTGGGATGTGTATAAATTTGTAATTTTAATATTATTAAAAATGTTAAATTGCACGGAGCATAAATCACATTTGTGCTGCACTGGCGGGGCAGGGTTGTTGGTGGCGTCAGCTTGCTGCCATCACTTGTGGCCCAGGGGTTGACACACAGCGACACATTATACCGATGCCATTACTGCCAGCTGCGTTTGCCACACTATTTATATTTTTTATTGTTATCGCCTTTGCTGTTGCTGCTAAAATTGCGCCCAGAGATGGGCCGCTGTTATTTTAATTTAAGCGATTTACTCTCAGGTTCATAAACCGGCAGCCGCAGGCGTAATCCAGATTTTGTGTAAAATGTCAAAGCATTAAAATGGAAAGGAATTAATAAACCGACAGCCAGGATAACATACATGAGTAAGATGCGTAACGGGCAAAAATATACATTTCCGCGAGAGACGTTTGCTGAAAGGGGTTTCTTCGATTTTAACAAAATTCCAAGAGAGCCTGAAGTTTTTGAAAAGCCCTAAGCGAAACGGATTTTATTTATTTACATATATTGCCCTAACATTAGCTAATTCAACGCTGTAGATCGTTGGACGTGCTCGACTCCAGCTAAGCTGAATATTCTGAAAACTCGAGCACCAATTGAGCAAGAAATCGGGATGCTGCAATTGAGGTCGTTAGCGGGAAGATACGATAAAAGCATGCATATTTGTGATCTATTTCGCCGATAAATTGACCCAGGGTGGGCGGCGACTCCCATTTATCGTGGCATACTTTGTCGTGTCTGCCATTACGTTTAATGACCCCGCAGCACTCTCATCTCATCAGCCTGCAAACACTTCCGAGGAGCGGAGCCTCTCTTTTTTAAAAGCATCCAACGCCCATTAACTTGTGTGAATTTATATCACTCGTTGGCCCAGCTCGAACGCCGACTACTGACTACTGACTACCGACTGCTGACTGCTATTATGCGTTCGTTAATTATTCACACACAAATACTGGCGGCGACACCCCTCAACCCTGCCACACGTTTCGGTCATAAAAACTGCCCGAATCCCGCCTGCCACGCCCCCTTAACGAGGCAACTAACATCGGAGCTTGCCCAGAACTCTCGGATTAACCTTTGCTTGGCCCCCTTCGAATGTCTCCACGGGTGCGGAGCTTGGAAATTTGGGATTAGGGAGACCGGGGACTGGGGATTGGGGATCTCCTCCCTGGACACTTATGCATCTGCCCACATCTCACCGCCAAGCCCCGCTTCCCCGCTCACATATGGCGAGATCTTGACATTAAATAAATCTAACATCCCGTATACGCTTAGTGGGCATCTTTAATACTCATCCGCACATACACACAAATACAAATGTGTGTATATATAAAAAAATGACGCAGACATTATTCACGCTATCATTGGGCACACACGACGGCCGGGACAGGGTCAGAAAGTAAGAGGAGGACGACCAGACCCATTGTGGGTTAGCCCGCAAAAAGGCCAGCAGCCGTGGCAAACTATGCTCTTATAAAGATGGAGGTTCCCGACCGCCGCGCTGTTGCCCCATTTGCGAGAAATTACAACGATTTTTCGTGAACGCGAGCGTTTGTCGCAGGACGAGGAAATGATTTTGATTTCCAGCCCTCACACGCACGCATTCAAGCCACATGCCACACACACCAGTTGGACCGTCGACCTCGAAATGTGTGAGCGAGTCTGGCATTGATAGCATTGATAACAAGCGTTTCCGCTACGTATCAGGGAATTAACCAGAGGGTGCAACCTGGAATAAGGAGATTCTAGAACCAGTTTGCTCTGGCGCTTACTTAACTGACCCTTTTAGCCTAGCATTTGACCATTTTCACAATGTTGGATGGGACTTTGTTGCGAGGACCATGATGAAAGTAGCCAGTTGTTGAACCCCCGATCTCGGAGAGCTGAGAAAAGAGTCACATATCATGGGGACGTGTCTTTATCCCCACCTTACCCAAGGCCAATTTAAAAATGAATCTATGACAATTATTGATTGCTGTAAAACGTAAAACACAGCTCAGTCGGACCAAAGCTAGTTGATTTATGTTTACTTCCCTGTCCAGCTCAGCAGCATTCCGTTGTCGATTTCCATTTCCTCGCCACTTGGGGATCCTGAACCCCATTTAAGGCAGCCCCGTGCGGCCGCTCCATGTCACATAATCGAATTATCATCATGGCATCAACAAATGATTTCAACTTGCGCCAACCTCCTGCTCCCCTCGACTGTCCGGCTATCCGGCTGTCCGGCTATCCTGCTATCTGGCTGTCCTGCCGCTCTTGGCGCTGTCACCGCTCGGGTTGCCCCGCAGCGTTGCCTTTTTTCACTTCACTTCACTCCGGCAAATCCTCACCCACACTCACCCTGCGTCAGACCCATCAACGGCCGGCAAACCTTTCGCAGGAACGCCATTCTCATCGCTTTTTTACGATTTCTCCCGCTGGCTCCTGTTTTGCCAACGTCATTGTCGCTGGTCATTTTCCCTGCTTACTTCATCCACTCATTCGCCGTTAGTCCGTTTCGTTGCGTTTCGTTCGGTTCGTTCGTTTTTTCAGCTTTGTTCCGTCTGTCGACTCGTTTGTTTGAGGTTATGTTGAATGTCAGTTTGTTATCCTTGTGCAAATCCTTTTATACAAATGAAATTTGCGCCAAATGGCGATAAGCAAAATACAATAGTGTGCACAGACCGCTCCTTGTCCCTCCCCCTGGCCGGCTTTGTGGTTTCCCGGGAAAGCGATCGGGGGAATTCAGGGGCAACCATGCCATGTCCTCGTTTGGAGAATTAAATGGAAAAATAAAAGTTCGAATGTCTAATTGATACTAGCCCCGAATTTTGCAATATATAACACTACCATATAGTATCTAATCTGAGTAATCACAACTAAAATTAACCACAATCTATCCACTCTCTCCTTACAGACATCAACAAGGGCTCACCCATCGACTTCAAGAGCGGATCGGCCTGTTCCACACCCACAAAAGACACGCTGAAGGGCTACGAGCGAAGCACGCAGGGCTGCATGGGACCCGTCCTGCCGCCGCGTAGCGTCATGAACGGAATGCCCGCGCACCACTACTCGGCGCCGATGAATTTCCGGAAGGACCTGGCCGCGCGCTGCTCCTCGCCCTGGGTGAGCGTCGGCGCCATATCGGCGCTGGTGCTGTGCGTGCTCATGCTGATCCTGTTGACCACCTTCGGGGGCCTGCACTGGACCCAGTCGGCGCCCTGCACCGTTCTAGTCGGAAACGAGGCGGCCGAGGTGACGGCTGCCAAGAGTACGAACACGGACCTCTCCAAACTGCACAACTCGGGACGCGCCAAGAACGGACAAGGCATCGGAATGGCCCAGGGGCAAGCTGGAATCGGAGCTGGTGGCGCGGGCGGCGGAGGAGCAGCAGGTGGATCCTCGACGGCCACTGTGACGACTGCCACATCAAACAGCGGCACCGCCCAGGGCCTCCAGTCGACGTCGGCCTCCGCGGAGGCCACATCCTCGGCGGCCACGTCTTCCTCGCAGTCCTCGCTGACGCCTTCGACATCGCTGTCCTCGTCCCTGGCGAATGCCAATAATGGAGGTAATTATGCACAACTTTTAATTATTTTTAAATGAGTTTTCGCAAGTTTCGCCGGGCAACTACGGAGTGGGACGCAGAAGAGATTGAGACGGAGCTCAAGAGAAAGCCAAGACGCCGGAGTATTTAGCGCTTAGCGCCCTCCGGCGGAGACAAAAAGTTTATTGTTTTTGTAGGTTTTTTGCTCAAAGTTTGCGCCTGACAGACAGCCAGACGCCTACGCTGGATAGGGATTATGCGAATGCCGTTTTCATTATTTCTCGGCGCGCCTCCCATTTCTTTCAATTCAAGTTAAACTTGAGTGCGTTCTTTGGGATTTGTCGGGCTAAAATATTGCATTAATTACTTTCTTGAATTGACAGCCAGACGCGCTGGAAAGCTGCAGCCAGAGGGATCCCTTTCATACTTGGGGCCTAGGCTATTCTATTAAATGTTTAAATCACGCTCGTAACTGGAGATCAATCTCTTTCTCCCGGTCTCTACTGCGTCCCGCTCACTTAGACGCTTCCAAACTTGCCAAGAGTAAGACGGTATTGGGTTAAACACACATTTAACACTTAACTTGCGGAGGTGAAGGACCGGGTGTTGTTTGGGATGGTATTCCTCAGCAGATATCCTGCCCCTTTCCATTTCGATTTGTTGGCTTTATTTACCTGTAGGAAGAGCAATGTCAACGCCGTTGTCATCCAGCGGGGCAGGCGTTGAGAGACTACGACATCGACGCAGCTTAATGGAGAGGGGGCTCGAAGATGATGTGGCTACGACCGAAACTTTCAGCGACTTAATTACAAACGAAAGCCTCAACCGGCAGCTGGCCAAAAAGTATTCGGCTACGACCCCGGCCAGGAGCCTGCCAGCCGTCGCCTGGCAAAGCATTTCAGATAAAACTTCGCGCGGAATCGATGTCGAGGTGGATGGACCCCAGGGGAGTGAAGGAATCGAGGTGGACTCCAGCGACTATGTCTATGAAGACGAAGCTGAGCCGGAGACCAGTCCTCCGCCCACCCGGAGGCCCAAGTCTAGGCAACAATTTGGCAAATCATTAAACAGCAATTTACGCAGCGCAGCTAAAACACTGGTCAACAAGAAGAGGAAATATGAGGTCGAGGCGGAGGACGTGGAGCACAGTGAGCAGCAGGATCCGGAGCGTCTCCCGGTGAATGGGATGGCAACGGCGCAAACGGTGGAGCCGGGGCCCAGCACATTTGTTGCTGTTATTGATGACGATAATCAAAGTGACAACAGCAGCTCAGGCCCAGCGCCGGAGACGACTCTAAGGAGTGACACCGATGACATTGTTGAAATCAACACCGCCCAAGCAGAGTCGGCGCTGAGCTCTTACCCCGCCTCCCCAACCCCTACCCCAGCTCAGCCCGTCATTGAAAATGATTTTCAAATCAGGGCGGAGGTGGTGGGGAAGTCGCTAGAGGAGAAACCTGCCGCTGATGATAACAATAATGAGCGTGATTTAGCTGACAACTATGAGGTAGACACCAAGGAGCCACCACCACAAGGTATAAATCAAGCCGACGGCGACTTGGAGACGAGCCATGCCTGTGGTGTGGAATTACGACCCAAGTTCAGGCTCAGGAAGTGTTTTTACTATGCGTTCAGCCTGATGAGATTGATGTTTGTGAAGGATTTTCAATTAAATCATCCTTTACTTTATGTCATTTCAAACTTAAATGTTTAATTTAAAATTTCTAGTCTCAACATACGCAGATAAAACAAAAAGAGTATAACTAAAAAAGATTCGTAAAAAAAGGGTGCAAAAACCCGTTAAGTTTAAACATATTTGATTAGGTTCTTAAATACTTAATTTAGATCTTGGCTAACAAACTTCAAAACACTTCCTGAGCCGGTCCATCGTGTTCAATTTGTACAAATTATTTACCAACATTTTGGTAACAAAGGTACTACTCAGAAGTTCAATAAGGATAGCAATAACACGGAATCCGATTTAATGATGAGCGATGACTCTCGCCTGGAGGATATCGATATCGTCAAACTAGATGAGGTACACAGCTCTCTTGAGGAGGAGATTTACGAGACGGCAGGCAAGAAGGGGTCGCCGCCCAAATTGTCTTCGGTACAGCCTTCAGCCAGTGAGAACGAGGTGCTCAAAGAGCAAGAGGAAAATGATCAGATACCCCTTCACCTTAAGCCGCTCAAGCCCTATGTGAGTGAGCGCATTGATCAGCCGGGCAAGCGAATCTTTCTCAACCTGACAATTGCCACAGACGAGGGCAGCGACTCCGTCTACACCCTACACGTAGAGGTGCCCACCGGCGGTGGGTCGCACAACATTAAGGAGGTGCTGACCCACGAGCATCGTGCCGAGCAGCCGGACAGCTATGCGGACAGTTGTGTCCCGGAGCCGCCGCCCCGCATGCCTGACTGTCCTTGCAGCTGCCTCCCACCCCCAGCGCCCACCTACCTGGATGACGGTATTGACATTGACTCTGGCGTATCTACTATGGCAGCAACCGCCACCACAACTTCAACGCCTTTGGAGAGCGCGACCGTTTTGAGCCGCCTCCACAGCGAGGACGGGGTTAGGAATGGGGACGTGTCACCGGACAACGGGGAGCCCATGCCTGTCCCAAGCACCACTACTACTAACCCCACTGAGATCGATAACCACATTGCCGCCTCCAATACTGAGCCCCCTGATGCTGCTGTGGTTGAGGCGCTTGCATGCCCCGATGTGATGCCAGTACTGATACTGGAAGGTGAATTGTGCACAGTGCATTCGTTGCTAACCCGCTTCGTCTAACATGCGGATATCTAACCATACTAAAAGCTGTACAGCTTATTAACTCTAGCCTATCGTTCGTAACCCAACCTGCTCATCTTTCATAGTTCCGCATTTGTACAAAGTATCTCCTCCAAGCATAAGTATCTGGCATCACATCAGCACGAGGCATCAGCCTGTGCCACTGTATACTTCTCGTATTTCCATAATTTAGCTGTCGGTGATAACTCCACCATCTGGGGGAAGAATACATCGTCAATCTAGGCTAATGACCTGTACAAATCGCCCCACACTACCCCACATACATACACCCAACATATTTATACACAACCTTTTAGGCCTAACCCGAATCTAATTATCTTTGTATCTCTATCACCCCCTCATTGCACACCACACTCGAAACACTGCGAACCCATTCATGCCGTTGCTATACCAGGAGCCCGAACATTCCCGGCGCGCAGCTTCCCACCTGACGGCACCACCTTTGGCCAGATCACGCTCGGCCAGAAGCTGACCAAGGAAATCCAGCCGTACAGCTACTGGAACATGCAGTTCTACCAGTCGGAGCCGGCCTACGTCAAGTTCGACTACACGATTCCGCGAGGCGCCTCGATCGGAGTGTACGGCCGACGCAACGCCCTGCCCACCCACACGCAATATCACTTCAAGGAGGTGCTCAGCGGATTCAGCGCCAGCACGCGTACGGCCCGGGCCACGCACGTAAGTAGCTCGCTAGCCACGGAATCATCCTGAATGTTTACTAACCTGTGTTTATTTCATGCCTGTTTCTATCATCTTCCCACTGCACATTGCACCACCGATCGCTCGCTTCACCTAATCCCGTGCAGCTTTCCATAACGCGGGAGGTAACGCGCTACATGGAGCCGGGTCACTGGTTTGTGTCGCTCTACAATGACGACGGGGACGTACAGGAACTGACCTTTTACGCGGCCGTCGCCGAGGACATGACCCAGAACTGCCCCAACGGCTGCTCTGGCAACGGTCAGTGCCTACTGGGCCATTGCCAGTGCAATCCCGGCTTTGGTGGCGACGACTGCAGCGAGAGCGTGTGTCCCGTGCTGTGCTCGCAGCACGGTGAGTACACCAACGGAGAGTGCATCTGCAACCCGGGCTGGAAGGGCAAGGAGTGCTCCCTGAGGCACGACGAGTGCGAGGTGGCCGACTGCAATGGCCACGGCCACTGTGTCAGCGGCAAATGCCAGTGCATGCGCGGCTACAAGGGAAAGTTTTGCGAAGAAGGTAGCGACGGGATCTTGGATCTCCTCTCCCCCATCACAGCTGGTTTGTTCCTTTCCAGCAATTTACTGATGCTCGCCCGTTTCGTCTTCTTCTTCCACAGTGGATTGTCCCCATCCTAACTGCTCAGGCCACGGATTCTGCGCCGACGGCACCTGCATCTGCAAGAAGGGCTGGAAGGGAGTGGACTGCGCCACCATGGACCAGGACGCTCTGCAATGCCTGCCCGACTGCTCTGGGCATGGCACCTTCGACCTGGACACCCAGACCTGCACCTGCGAGGCCAAGTGGAGTGGCGACGACTGCTCAAAGGAGCTGTGCGACCTGGACTGTGGCCAGCATGGACGTTGCGTTGGAGACGCCTGCGCCTGCGACACAGAGTGGGGCGGCGAATATTGCAACACCCGGTTATGCGATGCCCGTTGCAACGAGCACGGCCAATGCAAGAACGGCACCTGCCTGTGCGTGACAGGCTGGAACGGCAAGCACTGCACCATCGAGGGCTGCCCCAATAGTTGCGCCGGACACGGACAGTGCCGCGTAAGTGGTGAGGGCCAGTGGGAATGCCGCTGCTACGAGGGCTGGGATGGACCGGACTGCGGCATCGCTCTAGAGCTGAACTGCGGAGACAGCAAAGACAACGACAAAGGTGAGTTTCAGTTTGGGAATGCGGGTGCAGGAACCTCTAAACTTATTATTCAACCGAATCCTCTAGATGGCCTGGTTGACTGTGAGGACCCCGAGTGCTGTGCCAGTCACGTGTGCAAGACCTCCCAGCTCTGCGTCTCCGCTCCCAAGCCGATCGACGTGTTGCTCCGCAAGCAGCCGCCGGCAATCACCGCCTCGTTCTTCGAACGGATGAAGTTCCTTATCGACGAGAGCAGCCTGCAGAACTACGCCAAATTGGAGACGTTTAACGAGAGGTAGGTGCTTCCTGGTAGCCAATTTCATCCGTTTTAGTAACAAATCCAAATCGAGGCCGTACTGGCTGTGTATAGTTTTCACGATTGGCAGACAAGCTCAAATCCTGTACAATAACGAGAGCCTAGCTGGTTATTCCAATGTAACCGTACATATACTACCTTAACAAAATAATCAAATAGTTTGCATAATTAATGATTTTCTATGTTTAAATATTTACGTTTTCGTTTTCGTGCCCTCGTCTAAAACAAATCCCGAAATAAAACCATATCCCGCCACACCACATACCGAAATCCCATTAAAATCTTGTAAATATAAACCCTATATGTCCTTTGTTTGAAACCAACCCAGACAGAACATCCTAAGTTAGCTTGTAAGTACATAAATGTTAAGCAGCATTGTAAACGCCATAAGGTAGATTAAGTGTCCTGCGCAGCGCGACATCGCAGCAGTCCCTCGCGATTTCGGTGTGATCGAAACGGAGCTAGGGTCTCAGAACTAACTGGTGGGGGCAATTAACACATCAGCATTCCATTCTAGCTAACTAGACCATAGACAACCATGCTAATTCAATTATTTTCTCTCTGCTCTCTTTTCTCCTCCACACGCGCTCCCTAACCCGTGTATTAAATATTACATGCCAACTACTAAATTTTTCCTGTTCTACTCGATACTACTACCCACTAATAACTACGTGTAAATAACTCTACCCCTCTGATCACTACGCGGCACGAACACGATCTTCGAATGCTTTGCATTACCTAACGACTGCTTAACGCTCTCGTTGCCCGGTACTTGGTACTCGGTACTCGTTGCCCGCACTCGTTGTAACTAAATAACGAAACCAAAATCATACTAACAGCATTTTTTGGAATTATTTCAATGCAAGGTAAGCAAGCGAAATGCGGTACTAAAATAATACTCTACAAATACTACTCTGCTCTACTACTTATTCTAAATGGTTGTTTGGTACACATTGACCACTGCCCTTATCATTATCATTTCGTTTATACAGTAGCTAACTTTTTTATTCTTATAAGCTCAGTTGGTAGTTTGTTTTAAGTTTATTCCCAAACCGTATTCTCCAGACAACCAGACCAAGTGCTTTGGGTTTTTAGTTTACCACATAATAAATCTAAGCTATGGAAAATCATACTCTTACTGGTACTTAGGTCGAATCTAGGTCACAAACATGAGCCTTAACGAGATATACCATACATACCATACTAAATATTGTTCAACTTGTAATACATTTATGTGTTGAAACGAGTCTTATGTTCTGTGCGTGTGAATTTATATTATTTGTACTTATTTATTGCTCAAGTAGTTGCAAATATTTCGTTTTACTGCCTGCTGACCTAGCGAAATCTAGTCCTAGAGACGCCACAGAAGCTCCCATCCCTGCAAGACCCGACTAATCCATGATCTCTGTCCTTCCAACAGCCGATCAGCGGTCATCAGAGGGCGTGTGGTCACCTCCCTGGGCATGGGCCTAGTGGGTGTCCGAGTCTCGACCACCACCCTTTTGGAGGGATTCACCCTGACCCGTGACGACGGCTGGTTCGACCTAATGGTAAATGGCGGAGGAGCTGTGACCCTGCAATTCGGACGCGCGCCCTTCCGACCACAGTCACGCATAGTCCAAGTGCCCTGGAACGAAGTGGTGATCATCGATGTCGTGGTCATGAGCATGTCCGAGGAGAAGGGGCTGATCACTATGGCGACGCACACATGCTTCGCCCACGACTACGACCTGATGAAGCCCGTTGTGCTGGCATCATGGAAGCACGGCTTCCAGGGCGCCTGTCCCGATCGCAGTGCCATCCTGGCTGAATCGCAGGTTATCCAGGAGTCTCTCCAGATACCCGGTACGGGCCTCAATCTCGTCTACCACTCCTCACGAGCCGCCGGATACCTGTCCACCATTAAGTTGCAACTGACCCCTGATGTTATTCCGTCCTCGCTGCACCTCATCCATCTGCGTATCACCATCGAGGGCATTTTGTTTGAGCGCGTCTTCGAGGCCGATCCGGGAATCAAATTCACGTACGCTTGGAACCGTCTTAACATCTACCGGCAACGCGTCTACGGCGTGACCACAGCCGTGGTGAAGGTCGGCTACCAGTACACCGACTGCACTGACATCGTGTGGGACATCCAGACTACAAAGTTGAGTGGCCACGATATGTCTATATCGGAGGTGGGAGGGTGGAACCTGGACATTCACCACCGCTACAACTTCCACGAAGGCATACTTCAGAAGGGCGATGGCTCAAACATATACCTGCGCAACAAGCCGCGCATCATCCTGACCACCATGGGCGATGGACACCAACGTCCACTTGAGTGCCCCGACTGCGACGGCTTGGCCACGAAGCAGCGCCTGCTGGCGCCCGTCGCCTTGGCGGCGGCTCCGGATGGCAGTCTGTTTGTAGGTGACTTCAACTATATCCGCCGCATCATGACCGACGGCAGCATCCGGACCGTTGTCAAACTAAACGCCACCCGCGTCTCCTACCGCTACCACATGGCCCTCAGTCCACTCGATGGCACACTCTACGTCTCAGACCCCGAGTCGCACCAGATCATTCGCGTGCGTGATACCAGCGACTACTCCCAACCAGAACTTAACTGGGAGGCGGTTGTGGGTTCCGGAGAGCGCTGCCTTCCCGGCGACGAAGCTCACTGCGGCGATGGAGCCTTGGCCAAGGACGCCAAGTTGGCATATCCCAAGGGTATTGCTATTTCTAGCGACAATATCTTGTATTTCGCCGACGGTACTAACATCCGGATGGTGGACAGGGATGGAATCGTGAGCACCCTCATCGGCAATCACATGCACAAGTCGCACTGGAAGCCCATTCCCTGTGAGGGAACGCTCAAGCTGGAGGAGATGCACCTACGCTGGCCGACGGAGCTGGCCGTCTCTCCCATGGACAACACGTTGCACATCATTGACGATCACATGATCCTACGCATGACCCCCGATGGCAGGGTTCGCGTCATCTCCGGCAGGCCATTGCACTGCGCCACTGCCTCGACAGCCTACGATACTGACCTGGCCACCCACGCCACCCTGGTGATGCCGCAGTCGATCGCCTTCGGGCCACTGGGCGAGTTGTACGTCGCGGAAAGTGACTCGCAGCGCATCAACCGAGTGCGAGTTATCGGAACGGACGGACGGATCGCCCCCTTTGCGGGTGCCGAGTCCAAGTGCAACTGCCTCGAGCGCGGATGCGACTGCTTCGAAGCGGAACACTACCTGGCAACTAGCGCCAAGTTCAACACGATCGCCGCGCTGGCCGTTACTCCCGATGGGCATGTGCACATTGCGGACCAAGCCAACTACCGCATCCGCTCGGTGATGTCCAGCATTCCGGAAGCGAGTCCCTCGCGCGAGTACGAGATCTATGCGCCGGACATGCAGGAAATATACATTTTCAACCGCTTCGGCCAGCACGTGTCCACGCGAAACATCCTGACCGGAGAGACGACGTACGTGTTCACCTACAATGTAAACACCTCCAACGGAAAGCTGAGCACCGTCACCGATGCCGCCGGCAACAAGGTTTTCCTGCTGCGCGACTACACCTCGCAGGTCAACTCAATAGAGAACACCAAGGGCCAGAAGTGTCGGCTGCGCATGACGCGCATGAAGATGCTGCACGAGCTGAGCACTCCGGACAACTACAACGTCACCTACGAGTACCACGGTCCCACCGGCCTGCTCAAGACCAAGCTGGACTCCACTGGCCGCTCCTACGTCTACAACTACGACGAGTTCGGTCGCCTTACCTCCGCTGTCACGCCCACTGGCAGGGTGATTGAGCTGAGCTTCGACCTGAGCGTTAAGGGCGCCCAGGTTAAGGTGTCGGAGAACGCCCAGAAGGAAATGTCGCTGCTGATCCAGGGAGCAACGGTGATCGTGCGCAACGGGGCCGCCGAGTCCCGCACCTCCGTCGACATGGACGGCTCCACCACTAGCATCACCCCTTGGGGCCACAACCTGCAAATGGAGGTTGCTCCCTACACGATTTTGGCCGAGCAGAGTCCATTGCTGGGCGAAAGCTACCCTGTGCCAGCCAAGCAGCGCACTGAGATCGCCGGCGACTTGGCCAACCGGTTCGAGTGGCGCTACTTTGTGCGCCGCCAGCAGCCGCTGCAGGCGGGCAAGCAAATCAAGGGCACACCCCGTCCCGTCACTGAAGTGGGTCGCAAGCTGCGGGTGAACGGCGACAACGTTCTGACCTTGGAGTACGATCGCGAGACACAGTCGGTCGTGGTGATGGTGGACGACAAGCAGGAGCTGCTCAACGTGACCTACGACCGCACCTCGCGGCCAATAAGCTTCCGACCGCAGTCGGGCGACTATGCGGACGTGGACTTGGAGTACGACCGATTCGGCCGTCTGGTCAGCTGGAAGTGGGGTGTGCTGCAGGAGGCCTACTCCTTCGATCGCAATGGCCGGCTCAACGAAATCAAGTACGGCGATGGATCGACCATGGTGTACGCCTTCAAGGACATGTTTGGCTCGCTTCCGCTGAAGGTGACCACGCCCAGGCGGTCCGATTACCTGCTGCAGTACGACGATGCCGGGGCGCTGCAGAGCCTCACCACGCCGCGCGGCCACATTCACGCGTTCTCACTGCAGACATCGCTCGGCTTCTTCAAGTACCAATACTACTCGCCCATTAACCGCCATCCGTTCGAGATCCTATACAACGACGAGGGTCAGATCCTAGCCAAGATCCATCCCCACCAGTCAGGCAAGGTAAGTGCTCGATATTAAAGCAAACATTCTGAATTTTATATAAACTAATTGGATTCTACTCCCGCAGGTTGCGTTTGTACATGACACTGCCGGTCGCCTGGAAACGATCCTCGCTGGCCTGTCCAGCACCCACTACACGTATCAGGACACAACCAGCCTGGTCAAGTCGGTGGAGGTCCAGGAGCCGGGCTTCGAGCTGCGGCGCGAGTTCAAGTACCACGCCGGTATTCTAAAGGACGAGAAGCTGCGCTTCGGCTCCAAGAACTCACTGGCATCGGCCCACTACAAGTACGCCTACGACGGTAACGCCCGGCTGAGTGGCATTGAGATGGCCATTGACGACAAGGAGCTGCCCACTACGCGTTACAAGTACAGCCAGAACCTGGGCCAGCTGGAGGTGGTGCAGGACCTGAAGATCACTCGCAACGCCTTCAACCGGACAGTGATCCAGGACTCGGCCAAGCAGTTCTTCACTATCGTTGACTACGACCAGCACGGAAGAGTAAAGAGCGTGCTGATGAACGTGAAGAACATCGACGTGTTCCGACTGGAGCTGGACTACGACCTGCGGAACCGTGTCAAGTCGCAGAAAACCACCTTTGGCCGATCCACTGCCTTCGACAAAATCAACTATAATGCCGATGGACACGTGATCGAAGTCCTGGGCACCAATAACTGGAAATATCTGTACGACGAGAACGGCAACACGGTCGGCGTTGTGGACCAAGGGGAGAAGTTCAACCTGGGCTACGACATTGGCGATCGCGTGATCAAGGTGGGCGATGTGGAGTTCAACAACTACGACGCTCGCGGCTTCGTTGTGCGGCGTGGGGAGCAGAAGTATCGTTACAACAACAGGGGTCAGCTGATCCACGCCTTCGAGCGGGAGCGCTTCCAGAGCTGGTACTACTACGACGACCGCAGCCGCCTCGTGGCCTGGCATGACAACAAGGGCAACACCACCCAGTACTACTACGCCAACCCTCGCACCCCCCATCTCGTGACCCATGTCCACTTCCCCAAGCTGGGTCGCACCATGAAGTTCTTCTACGACGACCGCGACATGCTGATCGCGTTGGAGCATGCCGACCAGCGTTTCTATGTTGCCACCGACCAGAACGGTTCGCCGCTTGCCTTCTTTGATCTGAACGGAGGCATCGTGAAGGAGCTGAAGCGAACCCCCTTCGGCCGCATTATCAAGGACACCAAGCCCGACTTTTTCGTGCCCGTCGACTTCCACGGAGGGCTGATCGATCCGCACACCAAACTGGTCTACACCGAGCAACGCCAGTATGACCCCCACGTCGGGCAGTGGATGACGCCGCTGTGGGAGACCCTGGCCACCGAGATGTCGCACCCGACGGATGTCTTCATCTACCGCTACCACAACAACGACCCAATCAACCCCAACAAGCCGCAGAACTACATGATCGACCTGGACTCCTGGCTGCAGCTCTTCGGCTATGACCTGGACAACATGCAAAGCACCCGCTATACCAAACTGGCCCAGTACACGCCGCACGCTTCCATCAAGTCCAATACACTGGCGCCCGACTTCGGGGTCATCTCCGGCCTGGAGTGCATCGTCGAGAAGACGAGCGAGAAGTTCAGCGACTTTGATTTTGTGCCCAAACCCCTGCTGAAGATGGAGCCCAAGATGCGCAACCTGCTGCCGCGCATCAGCTATCGCCGTGGGGTCTTCGGTGAGGGCGTGCTGCTGTCACGGATCGGGGGCCGGGCGTTGGTCAGCGTTGTCGACGGATCGAACAGCGTGGTGCAGGATGTGGTGAGCAGCGTATTCAACAACTCGTACTTCCTGGACCTGCACTTCAGCATACATGACCAGGACGTCTTCTACTTCGTTAAGGACAATGTTCTGAAGCTGCGCGATGACAACGAGGAGCTTCGACGTCTGGGCGGCATGTTCAACATATCAACGCATGAAATCAGCGATCACGGTGGCAGCGCAGCAAAGGAATTGCGCCTACACGGTCCCGACGCCGTGGTCATTATCAAGTACGGTGTTGACCCCGAACAGGAGCGCCACCGCATCCTTAAGCACGCCCACAAGCGCGCAGTGGAGCGGGCCTGGGAGCTAGAGAAGCAGCTGGTGGCAGCCGGCTTCCAGGGTCGCGGCGACTGGACAGAGGAGGAGAAGGAGGAACTCGTCCAGCACGGCGACGTCGACGGCTGGATTGGCATTGACATACACAGCATACACAAGTATCCGCAGCTGGCCGACGACCCCGGAAACGTTGCCTTCCAACGGGACGCCAAGCGCAAGCGTCGCAAGACCGGCAGCAGCCATCGCAGTGCCTCCAACCGGCGTCAGCTCAAATTTGGTGACCAGAGTGCGTGAGTGGAGGCGGATATAGAGGAGCTGGATCTGGAGCCGGAGCAGCGGCCGCAGACGGAGACGGAGGGAGGTGAAGTGACCGACGAGGAATACAGCGAGCAGGAGGACTACCTAATTGCCGTGGGCAGGAAGGAGCCAAGGGACAGCAGCGAAGCACTCGAGGAGCAGATTTTGTAATTAGGTGAAATGCGCAACAGCAACAAAAACAAGAGAACAAGAAACCAGAACAGCAGCACAGCACACAGCAACCCAACACGAACAAGAAAACCCAGCATCAAACACTCTAAATAATATAAACTTTAATCGTGCTTAAAGTTTAGTATTAGTCACAATGCAACCCTCGAATAACCGAAGAAATTCTTATATGTATGTACACAGGAACACGAATATATATGTTGATGTTGAGTTTAGGCTAACAATAGGCGTATGTTTAGTCCATGTGTGTAATGTTTAATGTAAATCTGAATCAGAAAAGAATCGAATTAGCCGACAAACCCGAACGAATAACACTGGTTATTTGGAGACTTGGCTATTGGCCTAACCACCAACGCGACGTGTTGGCCAGGTACATATATAACGAAGTCGAACGATGAGTATTAAACAGCAAAATATGCATACGATAAGTATGAATGATAATTTACGAATTGATTAAATGTAAAAAGATTAACACTCTCTGTAGGAGGATGCCGCTAGTCCTCAGTCATCAGTCCTTGGACCCAAGTTCGGCCCAGCCCCTTTCACATGACGAAAGGTGTGTCGGTCGCTGCCTCACCTCTGTAACTGCTTTGTGTATATAAGAACGAATACTTTACTATGCTTTAACTAACGAATCAGCGCTTATTTACCCTTCCTCTAACAATCTTTTAAGTGAAACAGGTATCTGAACCGAATGCTCGAATTTACATTCATCTGTCGCGTCAGCTTAATTTGGATAGCCAAAAATCAAAAGAAATCTCTTACAGACAGCCCCTTTTAACGTCAACTCTTTCCACTCATTTTACAATGTTAAACTGTTGAATTTATTCAAGGGCAAAAAGCATTAAAAACTTTTTACAAATTGTGATATATATTTCTAAACATTTCATTTCACAGCTTGAAGTGTGCCGAACAGAAATCGAATTAACTCAAATCGAAGTGAAAATAAAAAGCAACCACTTGTACTTTACTCATTTTAAACTTAGTCCTTAACGATTAGTTTTTACACTGCAATATTTAGTTCTTACCATTTGCCATGTTATTTTGTATAAGCAATACTTACCCGTGACGGCAGTGTCACATAGCGTTTACTTCTTATTTTTATGTGCTTTAATTGGCTTTTTATGCTCGGTTCATACTCAATTTATACTCAATAATTGCCCGATTTTAAAAACTTTCTTAACGTCTTTCGTTATTGCTGTCATTCGGTCAGCCCTTTGTGTTTATAATTATTATTGAACTATTTATAACAAAAGCTAAACTATTGACTATTGAGATATTAACTAGCATAATACTTAGAGCGCATATGTAAGTTTTGCGGAGAACGTACACCCCCTATAATCATACGAAACACACCTTGTAATATACACACTACCACATATAACTACACATAGTCATAAGGATTAGGTTAAAGACAAAGATCGCAAGAGCGGAATGATTTAGCACCTAACTAATGTGAAAATAAGCGATGTATTCTGTTTCAATGTTGGGCGGAAGATAGGAATGCAGAAAGTAATGCGTAGAAATTAGCTAAAGTGTTAGTAATTTTATTAAATAAAATTATAAATGAAGCGAGAGATCATTAATAATGGATAAAAACTTAACTCTACACCTAAGTCTATACATCGGAATCTGAACTCGTTTTCGTTTGTGCGAGATGTAAAGCCAGCGCTGTGTAAAAGTATAAAATCGCGTCATTTTTAGTTCTTTACACAGTGGGTTCTTACAGAAAGGGAAGATTGTAAAAATTAACAAACTTATATGAGTGTGTATGTATTAAAATTAAGCAGCATTATATTAACCAAAAAGCAAATAACAACAGAAAGTGAAATCAGCATAGAGCTAACTGCAAAGGCATATTAAATCGTGACTGAAACAAGAACATTTACAGAATACCAAACGTTTGCGGTTACAGGTGTTCGACCTCAACCTATATTGTGTTTCGATATGCAAACCCGACTCCCGACTATGTTCTTTACATTCAGGAAGGAGCAACGCTGACCCCAAATCATTGACTAAAATCGCGATTAGGCGCATTAACTGTAATGAAAAACACACCACGTTCAATGCAGCCAGGTCGTTTAGGTGTGCAATTACGGTTCGAGCATGCATAAATGGCAAAAAAACTTGTGTTCAATGTTCAAAATTGTCTTGAAATTGAACAGACTACGAGGAGGAATGAGGGTAAAGATAGGATATAAACTAAATCGATTACAGACAGCAAAGGAAATCGTATATACAGAAAGTACATAATTATGGCAAGCCGATATACATACATGATAATACATCCATACCAATATATATAATAACTAATAATATTACGAGTAAAAAGCGATTTCAATAAAAATGAAAATATAAAAACACACTTGTTTCTCTTCCATGGGTTTTTTGAATGAATTTGGGAAAATAATTTAAAGGACGATTAACATGATATGTGATAACAGGTAATTTGCACGTACTGAATGGATTCGCAGCTTGATACAAATGATTTTCTTCTCCGATATTGGTTTCAATATTCAAATTTAACCTCAAGAAAGAAAACAACAAAAAAAAAAAACTTGGTATACCGAATGTTGTATAATCTACCATGCAGATCGAATTGATTCATTTGGAAAAAGAAAAAATAGGACAAAAATAGGAGAAGTATAAAAAACATTTATTAAGGGGGTGGGTAAGGTATTACATATTTTTTTTTGTTATTTTAAAGGCTCAATATATTAAGCATATTGTGTCTAAGTTTTACATCGATCATAGCAAAATTGACGAATGTCGTTTGGTGTTAAATGTATGAATATCAAAAAGTTTAAAGCGCTCTCCTGCAAAGTGCCATGTTGAAAGTCGGTGCACACGATAACTCAAAATCTACTGTACCAATCGATTGGAAATTTGGAACATAACTTCTTTAACTAATTCTAATTTTACAGGTACTTACGTCAAGCTTTTTTTAATTTTAAAATTAACTTAATTTTTTAAGTAAAAAATCGGGGTTTTGACTTTTGATAAAAAAATCTGAAAAACTTCTAAAATAAAAACGCCACGTGAGTATCTCAGGACACTTATCCTTTAACTAATGCATTCTAGTTTTTTGTTATCTGATGTTTTTGTGGACAGATAGGATGTACACCGAAAACTACTACTCGTAGACCTCTTAATATTTAAAATTTTATGTTTTTTATACCCTTGCAGGGTATTATAATTTCAGTCAGAAGTTTGCAACGCAGTGAAGGAGACGTTTCCGACCCTATAAAGTATATATATTCTTGATCAGCATCAACAGCCGAGTCGATCTAGCCATGTCCGTTTGTCCGTCTGTCTGTCTGTCTGTTTCTACGCAAACTAGTCCCTCAGTTTTAAAGCTATCTGAATAAAACTTTACATATAGTCTTCTATATGCTCTCACTGCTATATATGTCGGAACGGGCCGGATCGGACGACTATATCATATAGCTGCCATACAAATGTTCGATAAATTTTTAGAAAAAAATTATAACTTGGCTGTTTTTCAACATATGTGCACTATTTTTTACATATGACCATTTTATATTATTTTTGAATTTTGGTAAAAATTTTATGAAAATCTGACGACTATATCATATAGCTGCCATAGGAACGATCAGGAAATTAAAAGAAAAAAAATTATAACTTCGTGGTTTTTCAAGCTATTTTTATCTACTCTGAGATATAAGCTTACTTTATTAGTTCAGAAATTTGGTATAAATTTTATGAAAATCGGACAACTATATCATATAGCTGCTATATAAACCGATCGGTAGGTGTAGGGAAAATGTAAAACTGTAACTGTCAAACTCTCAACATAATATGTATAGGTAAAATGCTATGAAATAATATCTGCAAGGGTATACAAACTTCGGCGTGCCGAAGTTAGCTTCCTTTCTTGTTTTATTTATAATTTTTTAATAATGAGTCCATAGTTCCTTCGACTTTTTTAATTCTCCTATGCGATTTGGCATACTCTGGGTGTAGCGTAGCACAAATTCGGGGGGAATAGCGTACCAGACGTCCTTTGTCCTCTCCCACAGCTCCATTATTCCATTCGGAGGAACTGCATATTGCGATTTAACATGACTCCATAAGTTTTCTATTGGATTCATATCTGGAGATTGTGGTGGCCACTTCATACACTGAAATTCATTTTTTAACAGAAAGGCCGAAATTTCCGATGGTTGTTGGTTGTTACTTCTTAGGTAAATTATAAAAACATACTGTACATATGATATACATATACACATTTTTGCTACTGTTGCATTCTTCGAGTGATGTTAAAAAGCAAAAGTCGAATAATCATGCCTCTGTTTTAGAAATTGTTATCAAAACAAAACAACCTTTTTTATGAGTTTTTTTTTTACCAAAATAATAAAAAATTGCGTTTGCTCTAATTCTGATTCGAATATATCGAATTTTTTTGTAGAATATGCAAAGTTCTATTTAATTTGATCAATTGGAGAATTTTTTAATGTACATAAATAGGTTGAAGAAATCATTATAGAGAACTTTTAATTCTTTTTGTTGCGATTGTTCTTTCTTGTGAATTGCCCACATGTAGTTCTTCCTACCATCCTACCCCGTTACTGTCTGCAATAGATAGAAATGTTCATTCAGATATCTCTAAAACGTAGACTGCATACAAAATGGCACACGGGCGAATAAACTTCATAGGATTGAAAATGAACTTTTGGAAAAATTTGTAATACCCCATAATAAACTTTTTTGTTAATTGGTTTACAACTTTTTAAAAAAGTTGAGAATATATATTTTATTTCCGTCTGAATCAATCAATTATAATGCAAAGCAAATTCCGCGGCTAATACAAGATGTTTCCCAATGGATTTTCCGTAAAAGTGGATGAACCCGAAGGCTGGTTGACAAATTTGGAGTATGGAGACGGGGATGCTTCATATCCCGCAACCGACTTCAATGTGTCCTGGCCACGAGTTAGGACCAACAAACTGCCAGCAAGGACTTTGTCGACGGACTTCAGCTCGCTGATCTTTTTATGTTGGTCGATGACGTAGATGTTGAAGTTGACGCCATACAGGCCAAACAGATTTTCGAGCTCACTGCGCAGCGCTGGCAGTGTGATAAGATCATTGGTTACGCCATGCTGGAGGAACAACGATGCCTTGTTACTGTTGCCAAATCGTGGCTTAAGCTCTTCGGCCAAAGTTACATTGAGCCAAGGGTGGTGTGGCAGCTGCAGTTCCTCTGCAGAGCAAATTGTCAACTTCAGGGGAATTCCCTTCAGATCGACGATCTCGCTGGCTATCAACCGCTTCTTGGCAGCCTGCTGGGCTGAGTAGGGAGCAAACTCTGACTTAACGGCAGCCTTGATCATATTCGCATAGTTGGTCAAAACTTTCGTCAGTTGAGCCTGAGCTTCCAGGACGTCCTTCTTGCCCTGTTTGTCGGCAGTCAGCTCGTGGAAGATGAGCACGGGATCGGTCGGTATAAGTTGAGCCTTCTTCTTCAGCTTCTGCACCCGGTTGATAACCTCGCGGGCCAAGCCCTCTTCAAGCAATTCTTCGTTGGGAGTCATGTCCAGCAGCACCAAAATTTCATTATCACTGTGAGCCTCAAAGTTGCCGCTCACCTGCTCGGAAGTGCAGTAAATTATGCGCACTTCTTCGAGCTCCACACGTTGATCTAGGATATTGAAGTAGCCTTGAGACACTTGCCTTTGAATTTCTTCGTCCTTTAGGGCCTTGATGGCAGCCATAACCGCCTTGAAGTTGCCCTTCAGCCGCTGACCTAGGGTCTGAGAAGAAAATAGAATTTAAGTTTTACATCAGCAACGTTCTCCGTATATCCCCTTACCTTGTGGTCGGGTTCCGCTCTCAAGGTGACACCGTATTTCTCCTTATCAGAGCTCAGCGTGAGCTTGCGAACGTTGAGTTCGCTGAGAATGAAGTCTTGGAGGCTCCTGATGGCCTCAAGAGTTTGGGCATCCTTGTGAATGACAATGATTTCAGAAACCGGATACTTGACAGGCAGGGTTCGTCGGTCGCGCATGACGCGACCCAGCTCGACAACCGATTGCATCCAGGCAACCGAGCGTTCGATATCGCTGCGAATGAACGTACTTTGGCTGACAGGCATCATCTGGTAGTGCACCGAATCAGCGTGCTCCAAGGCACCAGGTGGCTGGAACAAAGCCAAACGCTGGAAAATATACTCCGTGAGGTAGGGCGTAAAGGGAGCCATCATTTTGACCATGGTATACAAGACGTCGTACAGCGTGTCCAGGGATTGAATGCACTGCTCAGCTCCCAGCTCGCCCTTAATGCGACGACGGTTGAGTCGAACGTACCTGTTAGCGGGAAGACCTTTCGTTAAATCTTCAAGTGCATACAATAAAGTTATAAAAGTTATACCAGTTTGTCAGTTGATCGATGAACTTCGTCAGCCTAGGCACGACCGTGTAGAGCCGATACATCTTCATCTCGTTGGCCAGGAACTCCAGCAGGGACTCCTTGAACGACAGAATCCACACATCGATAACGGAGGCGTTGTCCATATTCTTCAAGTGCCGTTCACGGTCATAAACGTACTGACCGACGCCTGCCAAGTCTTCCTTTTCGTAGCGAACTATGTTTTGCAGCAGGAAACGGTAGGCATTGTACCACGGCAGGAACACGTCCTTGATGATGTCGCGCACACCCTCCTCCTTGAAGCGCAAACTCTCGGCGCGCACCACGGGCGAGTTGATGAGGTAGAGTCGTAGGGCATCCGCTCCGTACTTGTGGACCACCTCCATGGGATCGGGATAGTTCTTCTTGCGCTTTGACATCTTCTGACCATCTGCGGCCAGCACCAGTCC